TCTCTCTCTCTCTCTCTCTCTCTCTCTCTCTCTCTCTCTCTCTCTCTCTCTGTGCCCCTCCCTCTCTCTCTCTCGGTGCCCCTCCCACTGGTGCGCCTTCTCCCTCTCTCTATCTCTTTATATATATATATACATTGTATGTAGTATTTTCATTAATACCAGTGAGCAAATTCATTTGTTAAGCGACAAAATGTGGACATTGTGAGAAATCCTCATGTCTTATTTCTGAATCAAGTATTTGTACGAACTGGAACATACAGCAGAATGCAAATCAAACTTGCTACCGTACAAAAATAAATGATAAAAAAAAGAGATAATGAATTCAAACATGGCCACATCGTCCCTAATCGTTTGCTTAATGTCTAGGTGTCTTGGGTGCGATTGTTGTTTTTGTCGCGATTTCGCGTTTCCTTTGGCTGGGCTTTTGTCCTTTGTGCTTTGGTGGGTATGCTGTTTTTATTTGGTTGGTTGATCTTTGGATGCCCCTTTCTTTTCTGGTTTGTAGGAACTTGTTGAAGATCCTGTTCTGTTTGTGATGTGAATATGCAAACCAGACGTCTCGTGAAATAGCAAATGACTGGTAGTGAGTGTCCAAGGCATACTCTCCCAAACTGCAAAGGGCTCAGTTCGCTTCCTGGAGCTGTGCCTGAATCACGCCTTTAAGTGTGTTGGCAAGCTGTACCAACTTTTGGGATTTCCATGAAACAGGGTCTTTCAGAACACGGTTGAGAGACTCAGCATCGTTATTTGTCCATAACGAGTCTTGAAGACAAAGTCCTGGTCGCCCAAGAGCACAGACATTTGCCACCATCAATGATGTGATGCATTCAACAAGCTTTGCCACCTGGACATTCAGTACATTCTCACACCAAAATTGGAGATGGTCTTGAAATTGAACAGGGTCTTTTGCATTGACCATCATCCCATTTGGTCCAAAAAGATCGTTTATAATGTGTTGGCGCTGCTTGGAAGGTAGTCCAACCTTGTCGGCTAACGTGGCTAATAAATTGTTCCTGAGATGCCTCGTGCAAGAAACAAGGTTTGTTTCTGGGAAGGCACGTGCAATTGCTCGCCTTAAAGTAGCTTTCTCGTCGCTTTGGAATGTGGGTTGAGTAGAGGATACTAAGCAACCAGCAAGGTGATGAAAAAAAATGAAAAAAGAGTCTGTATCAGAGTCACTGTACAAAAACATAGGGCCAAAAAAAATTGGGTATTCGTTTGATCTTCGGCTGAGTAGTGAAAGATTTTTGTAGACTGTTGTTGGTACTTTTCCTCACCCAGATTATAGGTCTTGTCAACACACAGGATTGTTGAAGCGCAGGTTGTTGGTGGGCAGAAAAACCTCTTCAGGTCCTCTATTTGTTCACAAGTGAACGGTATAATGCAGAGGACCTTCCCATGCTGCCTGATAATCTGTCTTATGAAAGGTAGGGAATGCTGAAGTTCTTCCACTTCTGAAACTTGGTCTGCAAAATTTGCCTTCGGGTCATCAGCCCCTTTACTCGACCTCGCCTTCACATTGTAGACCTGTTTCTTGTTTCTCCATCTCCAGTTGCATACACGTGTGCTGGCTGCTTCTATTTTTGAGGTATTCTTTTAGTTTCTGCATTACTTTTGGTTTAATCCTGACATAATATGGTCCAGGATTACCAGTTGTTGTTCGCCCATGAACTGCGGCTAGCGGACCCACTCCCTTGATGAACTCTTGGATCGCAATAGCTGGCAATTGCATGGTTTCATTAATAAGCCACGGAACTCTTTTTTTATACTGGCAGTCAAGGGTATGCTTTACATAATATCACTGCAGAACAAAAACGTCTTGAGGAGCTGGTTGTGGTTTCAAAGAAATCTAAATTCTCTTTTTTATTTTTCGTTTGTTCGAAGCAAAATTTTTCTTTTTTTTAAACCACATTTTCTTAAACAAAGATCGATTTGCTGCTGGGATCTGTTTGCCAAGCTCCTCGACCATTGTAAAAATTTGGAGATTTTCCGTGCTTTCGCTTATCCAAATTTTTAGCATTGTTGGCCACGATATATTCGTTGTTTTTCCTGCCGTCAGGCACAAGGTTGATGTCAGCTATGTGGGTGTCTTGGAGTATTTTGAAAAGGCTTTTTATATCAAGAAACTGGCCTTGAGGGAGGTCTTTGGCTTGGCTTGGTACATGTTCATCATGCTCCTCTTGTAATTGTTCGTCGTGTTGTAATTGTCAGTCACATCATCAGTGTTGTTTGGACTTGGGTTTTGAAGTACTGTTGCTTGACGGCCATCATCATCGTCAGCACTGTCAACATCATCACAATCATCAACACCATGATCATCATCATCACATTCATCATCGTCAGCATTATCAGCATCATCTTCTTCAAGTTTGCGGGAACTATAGGTACAAAATGATTGGGGGTCCATGCCCTGGCCCCGCGTTCCCTTTGTGACATATTTGTCCACATGATACATACAGTCGAACCTGCCTTAACGGAAACCTGTGTAGAACGGAAACCTGTCTTAACGTAATCTCCCCGCTCCCCCCTTGATATATTTCTCTTTAATTTCCTGTATAGAACTAAAACCTGTCCAACGCAGCCGAGGGTTTCACCTGTCTAAGACGGAAAATGCTGTGCTCGCTCAGCCCTGATTTGAAACGAAACTCGCAAATTTGGTTCCACCGGCTCTCTCAACCTAACGCCATGGCCATGCCACTTTGCGAGGAAGGGGAGTAGGGGTGCAATTTGGGAGTAGATGTTACCCCATGTGAGCCCTGAGCGATGCAGATGGTCAGGGTAGTGTGGGTGTGAAATGTCACAACTGGCCGTTAGAGTGCTCGAGTAGCGAGCCACTGCAGAAACTTTCGTGGGTAGCTAGAAGCCAGAGGTGTGAAATTAGACCAATGCCTGCCGCCCCGATCGTACGGCCAGCCGAGAATAGAGATCCTCGAATCGTTGTTACATGATGGCAGTGAGGGGTGGCATTGGT